TATATATATATATATATATATATATATATATATATATAAAGATATATAGTATATGTGATTATCCTGCTTGTGTGTTAGGTTTAACACTCTTTTTATTTTATTTTTGTTTCATTGTATTTAGTTGCAATTAATATTGTTCTCGGATTCGGGATTCTATTTTTAGTAGTGAGATATATTTTTAGCGCAGCGCTACTTACTTAAGACGAAAATGTAATACGTGCGAATTATCATTGAGTCCGTCTTACCTTGATAACAAATCAACAGGAAGTTAAAATGATTGGTCAGCATCACGGACATACTTTCTTCACTTGATCAATGTTTGCAAACAGCCTTTTTATGATTTGTTTTCAAGTGGGTCTATATTTGACAACGTGACAAAAGTAGTGTAGTATGACTAAACATGACAAATCTTGCGAGACTTGAATTAAATACGCATTCTAATATTTTTATTCGGGCAGAGTCATTCAAAACCTTGAAGGAACAAGGTGTTGTTTTTAAATTTGTTGCCATAATATTGTATTCTTCGTCTGAATTTTGGATTCCATAATTAATTAATTTTCCTGCTTGTCAAGTTGACATACTTATAAAAATAAAATTATGAAAGATATTCTTAGAAATTTATTCTGTAATTATTCGGAAAAAAGATTGTTATTCAAGTGAGGAATTATTGCTATTCATAGATTGGACTGCATCTGACGTCATCACCTTCCATATGTGTACGTATTCGGGACTCGAACCTGGATTCTTGTATGACTATTTAGTGATAGGACTTGTGTTTTTATTCTTAGAATCATATTTGGGTTTTATTCACAAAATGTTAGTCCTATTTACCAATTTTTTTAAATTATTGTCTAGGGAAATAAATTGTTTTGCTAAAAATGTACAAAGCTTGTTGGCTTTCACTCTTTTTTTATTACTGAGTAAGAGCCATTTTCACCTCACACGTCAAGTTTCTTCATTTTAGTATCACCATTTAATAGCATTTTTCAGCAAGTGGCTGCCAAGGAAAAACAAATCAAATTTTAATCTCGTTGGAAGGAGTGGTCGATTATAAAATGCTTCACCCCATAAACGAATCTGCCTGAGTGAAATTAATTTATAGCAACAATAATAATTAGCAACAAATGACCTGTGAAACGAATTTATCATTTCAATAAATCTAAATCACAGAAAGAATAAGTGATGCAGTGAATTATAATACATTTTTCTCGGTCAGACTGTCTGCTATTCAAACAGAGATTGTGCAGGTTGAGATAAATATCGATTGAAATTGAATGTAGCATCTTTATCGGCATGGCAAAACGTCCTTGTACAAGATACAGAATACATGCTTTATCGGCCTGGCAAAACATCCTTGTACAAGATACAGAATACATGCTTTATTCTCCTCGGGTCACGTTATTGCAGATACTAAATACAATAACAAAAATCAATACATAATCATTGCTTTATCATGATTGTAACAAAATAAATGACGACAGGCAACAAATAACATATACATGACATCTCAGTTGGCCTAAGTGGTTCGAGCGTCTGCTTCGTAGACCAAATACATAAAATAGTACCATCAGCTGTCTTGCCTGGAACTCAGCATTAAGAGGTCAGTCTTAAGACTAAAAGCTCGTTGTCAGGAGAATGTGACTGTGGATTGGGACATAATGCATCTTATCTGCATCATGATGCCCTCGTGCTTGACATTACTTTAAACTGCCAAACAGCAATATGATTAAAATTGTTAAAGCTAAGCTAAAATATAAAAAGACACAAGCACACATTATGTATGTATGTATGTATGTATGTATGTATGTATGTATGTATGTATGTATGTATGTATGTATGTATGTATGTATGTATGTATGTATGTATGTATGTATGTATGTATGTATGTATGTATGTATGTATGTAGGTAGGTAGGTAGGTAGGTAGGTAGGTAGGTAGGTAGGTAGGTAGGTAGGTAGGTCCATGTGTGCGTGCGTGTATGTGTCAGTATGTGCTTATAACAATTCAGTTAGGACAGTGATTTTATATGCAGCCTTTATATGCAGCTTCGTTAATTTTTCAAAATGTTATGTTCTTGTCCTTGTTAACGACGTGTTATCTACTTGTCCGTGTAAACGGTGTTATCTACTTGTCCATGTCAACTACTTGTTATCTACTTGTCCATGTCAACGACATGTAATCTATTAGTCCATATCAACCACGTGCTACCTACTTGTCCATGTCAACGACCTATTATGTACATGTCCATATCAACGACGTGTTATCCATTTGTCCATGTCAACGACATGTTATGTACCTGTCCATGTAAACAACGTATTATGTACATGTCCATGTCAACTACGTGTTATCTGCTTGTCCGTATCAACTACGTGTTATCTACTTCTAAATGTCAGAGACGTTTTATGTACATGTACATGTCAGCGATGTTTTATGTAAATGTACATGTCAACGACGTGTTATCTACTTGTCCATGTCAACGACTTGTTATCTACTTGTCCATGTCAATGACGTGTTATATATCTTTCAATGTCAACGACGTGTTATCTACTTCTAAATCTCAACGACTTTTTATGTACATGTACATGTCAACGACGTGCTATCTACTTGTCCATGTCAATGACGTATTGTCAACTAGTCCATGTCAACGACGTGTTATCTACTTCTAAATGACAACGACGTTTTATGTACATGTCAATGTCAACTACTTGTTATTTACTTGTCCATGTCAACGACGTGTTATCTACTTGTCCATGTCAACGACGTGTTATCCACTTGTCCATGTCAACGACATGTTATCTATTTGTCTATGTCAACAACGTGTTATCTACTTTCCCATGTCGACGACGTGTTAAGTACATATCCATGTCAATGACGATTTATTTACTTGTCCATTTCAACGATGTGTTTCCTACTTGTCCATGTCAACGACGTATTATGTACATGTCTGTGTCAACGACGTGTTATCTACTTGTCCGTGTCAACGACGTGTTATCTATTTGTCAATGTCTACGATATGTTATTTACTTTTCCATGTCAACGACGTGTCATCAACTAGTCCATGTCAACGACGTGTTATCTACTTGTCCATGTCAACGACCTTTTATGTACATCTAAATGTCAACTACGTTTATGTACATGTCAATGTCAACGACGTGTTATCTACTTGTCCATGTCAATGACGTGTAGTCAACTAGTCCATGTTAACGACGTGTTATCTACTTCTAAATGTCAACGACGTTTATGTACATGTCATTGTCAACGACGTATTATCTACTTGTCCATGTAAACGACGTGTTATCTACTTGTCCATGTCAACGATGTGTTATCTGCTTGTTCATGTCAACGACGTATTATCCATTGTCCATGTCAAACACGTGTTATCTACTTCTAATGTCAACGATGTATTATGTACATTTGCATGTCAACGACATGTTATCTACTTGTCCATGTCGACGTTTTTTCAACTTGCCCATTTCAACGACGGGTTATGTCCTTGTCGAAGTCAAAGACGTGTTATCTGCTTCCCCATGTTAATGACGTGTTGTCCACTTGTCCATGTCAACGATGTGTTATGTACATGTCCATGTCAACGACGTATTATGCACTTGTCCATGTAAACGACGTGTACCTACTTGTCCATGTCAACGACGTATTATGTACATCTCCATGTCAACGACGTGTTATATGCTTGTCCGTGTCAACGACGTGTTATCTACTTGTCCATGTCAACGACATGTTATCTACTTCTAAATGTTAACGACGTATTAACGACATGTACATGTCCATATGAACGACTTGTTATGCACATGTCCATGTCAACGACGTATTATGCACTTGTCCATGTAATCGACGTGTATCTACTTGTCCATGTCAACAACGTATTAATTTCATTTCCATGTCAACGACGTGTTATCTACTTGTCCATGTCAACGACGCATTATGTACATGTCCATGTTAATGACGTGTTATGTACTTACTAATGTCAACGACGTTTGACAGACATCTAGTAAACAATTTATAATGTTATGATTACCGTCAAAACACACATGTAATGGTAATAACATTTTCAAAAATGCAAAATAAACTTGTATCAATGCATGTTGTTTTGAAGAAAAACATGATTAATCAGTAAGCTTCAAAATCTGATGAAAAGTATTAACATGACATTGAATAAAGTCTAAGTATGAGCAAGAGACAGCTAAATTATTATTTTTTAAACTTTAACTAAAATATCTTTAACATCGCAACAGCAATTGAACAAGACAAAAAAAAATCAAAATACTTACTCAAATGGTTTCTGTCGAAATCATTTTTTCACCGGTCTTTCCTTTAAACTCACATCCGCCAAAGGATGCTATTTTTAAGCAAAGACTCAAAAGCCATCATCGACAATATGTTTTATCACTTGTCACACCACACAAAAATTCTCGCATTTAACCTAAACTCTCCGGTTTAAAACAGCAAGGTAGATAATTAACAACTTGTTGTGCACAAATGTTAGCCTTATAACCATTACTCGGCCAAGCTTCAATGCACATATTGCAATCACAGCAAGAACAGTTTGGTACCCAGTGCACTGGTTCTGACTGGCTTCTCTAATACATTGACAAAACACATGTTTTTATTTGCATTTCTTTTAAAATAATTTTCAGAAGCGGTCATTTTCAACTAAAAAATGGCATTACGGTAGTTGGTTTTAAAACCGTATTCTTACGGCAGGTACAATTACATAGATGTTGTGTGTGTGTGTATGTGTGTATGTGTTTGTGTGTGTGTATTTTTAACGTAGCTTCAAAACATTTCAGTGATATCGCTATAATGTCTGCAATGTGGCAGTTTATAGTGATGGCTAGCGCTGGTACTCCACACCGCAGATATGTAACATGATGTCCCACTCAGTCACAGTATTTCAACACCAGACCAACCAGTCATAACACTAACCTCTTAATGCTGAGCGCCAAGTGAGGCAGCAGTTAGCACCATTTTTTTAAGTCTTTGGTATGACTCGGCCGGGTATCAAACCCACGACCTCTTGCATCAGAGGCGGACGTTCTAACCACTAGGCTACAGAAGCATTAAAGGTAAGTGAGCACTATCTAGAGGTAATCCATGTAACATATTGACCATTCATCGAGTGAGCACTAACTACTGGTAATCCATGTAACATATTGACCATTCATCGAGTGAGCACTAACTACAGGTAATCCATGTAACATATTGACCATTCATCGAGTGAACACTAATTAGAGGTAATCCATGTAACATACTGACCATTCATCGATCACATGCTTCGCTTGGTAATAAAAAAAAAGTTCTCAATTTTCGATAGAAGCATGACAAAGAAATGGTCTCCTTAAGGGAAAGGAGAATGCATGTGGGAGGTCTCATTAAAAATTTGCCAGGTTTTCAACAAATTGAAAAGAAAATGCCGCATTTCATCGACGCTATCAAAGTTTTCTTAAGCAAAATAACATTCCACTCGATATGTCCAATGGGAGCGGCTCGATCTGAAATTAAAGGGCCCCATTCGTCAGACCATCGGAATTGTTTGCAATGGCCACCATTTTTTTTTTCTGATTTACGCGAAGTCAGGTGATAACAAGTTTATAATTGATTAAATTTTCTTAGGCAGACAGAACAAATGAATCACTGTAACGAATTCAACAATGAAACACCATTATAAGAAAACATTTGGAATACGCAGACATTATAATAGAGGAGGCAATTAAAATAATAAACGATTCTCTCTCTCTCTCTCTCTCTCTCTCTCTCTCTCTCTCTCTCTCTCTCTCTCTCTCTCTCTCTCTCTCTCTCTCTCTCTCTCTCTCTCTCTCTCTCTTCATGTTTTCTAGGATAATCAATTATTTTTGTTTAAAATTTACAAAACCTGTTGCCTTCACTCTTTCTTTATGTTACTTAAAACGAGCTGATACGTAATAAAGAAATTGGTCGCTCGTCCTTTGGGATATTTGAAATTGGCTAAAATTTGAAATTTAAATTCCCCTAGTTTACTTTATTTGAAATTTTAGTGAAAACAACAGGCTTTTTTAAAACAAAAATGTCAAAAGTTAATAGTTTTCTTTCTACTCCATCCAAAGAACAGATGGAGAGTTTTTAGAAAGATAAATTGCTTGAACTTGCCAGAAAGTATTAACTATCCGAAGCAAAATCTTTTTTCAACTAAACAAGAAATCATGAAAATTATACTTCAATATTAGGTAGAGAAGAATGTCTTGGACAAAAGTGTTTTGGCATCTGTCGATGCTAACGATAAAATTGCAGAACTAAAATTGAAATATAAATTTGAATTTCAGAGAATACAATTAGAAAAAGAGAAAGAAAAGGATAGGCAAAGAGAATTACAAAAAGACCAAATGAGATTACAATGTGAAGAAAAGGAAAACCAAAGACAAATAGAAAAAAGGGGAAAAGACAAATACAAATAAAAGAAAGGGAAACAAGATAGGCAAGTAGATTTACAAAGAGAACAAATGAAATTGGAAGAAAGGGAGAAAGAGAGACAGATGTAAATTAAAATGAAAGAATTGGATCTGGCAAGTGACGGGCATGATTCCACATCTCATGCAAATTCAAAGTTTAACATTTGAGGAAATATCAAATTAGTTCCCACCTTTAGTGAAAAGGAATTAGACAAATATTTTATTTTGTTTGACAAAGTAGCCGAGAATTCAAATGGCCAAGAGAGTATTGGACTCACTTATTGCAGAGTGTACTTTTGGCAAGGCCAGAAATATCTATATATCTCTCAGTACAACTAAGTTCTGATTACGATTTGGTTAAGGAATGCATCTTGAAAGGTTACGAGTTAGTCTCTGCGACTTATCGGCAAAAGTTTAGAAGTTACAAAAAAGAAATTAGACAAAATTATGCTGAATTTGCTAGGGAAAAAGAACAGTTTTTCAAGAGATGGTGTCTGTCTGAGAAAATTAAACATGATTATAAAAGACTTAAACAACTGGTACTACTCGAAGAGTTCAAAAATTTTATTCCAAGTGATATCAAAAATCAACTTTAAGATCATGAGAGTGAAACCTTGGAAAATGCATCTCTGGCTCCTGACAAGTATTCCTTAACTCATAAAGTTCCTGCTGTAAACAAATCTTTCACTCAGCGGTCTACTGATGGAAAGGTGTTTCAAACAAATACGACTCTCAGTAAAAATCAATCTGGCACAAATTCTAAAAATCAAGCCTCTGAGAGACTTGATTCTAAATCCTTGTCTCTACCTACGTATACCTATTGTAAGAAAAAAGGACACGTCATTTCTGAGTGCTTAAACTTGAAGTAATAGGCATCCGAATCAAGTTAGTTCTATCCCAAATGCTCTTATTTCTAAGAGGTCAAGGTCATGTATTGAAAACAATACATTTGTTGGGTTTGATAAACCTCAGTGTCATTGTGTTTTGGAGAATTTTGAATCATTCATGTCACTCTTGGGTAATTTGGCAAATTTTATCCCTATTCAAAATTTCCAGGGATACAGGAGCTTCTCAGTCTTTTAGTTTCAGGTGTTTTTGCGTTTTTCTTCTTCTTCTGAGAAGACCAGTTCTTATGGGTGTTCTCATTTAGGGATTAGAGTGCGGCTTTGTTAATGTTCCTCTCCATTCTGTTAATTTGTCATCAGACTTAGTTTCAGGACTTGTGACCGTCGGTGTTGTGTTACTTTACCTGTTGAGGGCGTTCATTTGTTGCTAGGCAATGACTTAGCTGGAGACAAGGTTGTGGTTAACCCACTTGTAACTGACAAGCCTTCTTTGGATCAGAAAGTTGATCCTATTGAAAAAGAAATCCCTGATATTTTCCCAGCTTGCGCAGTTACTAGAGCTATGGAAAAGAAATCCCTTGAGAATGATTTTGATATGGACTGTTCCTTTATCTGACACATGTATTGGTCAGGCTTTTGATGAGGTCACTTTCACTTTTAATTTGGATCAGTCGATAGGTATTGATCATAGTGATCCTCTTTTAAATACTCATTCTCTTTTATCAGATCAGGGTGATAAACGACAATCACTTGTCGTTGAACAGGAGAAGGATCCTGAGATCTCCTGTTTGTTTCAGCGGTTTGTTAGAGAAACTGAAGCAAATGAAGTACGGGTCTGTTACCTGCTAGTTACAATTGCTCAGTAAAATATCAAATTGTGACTCCGAAACCTTACAGACAGGAAATACTTTGTTTGGCCCATGAAACTTCTATGGGTGGTCATTTGGGGATAAATAAAACTTATCACAAGATCTGGACTCAATTCTATTGGCCAAAAATCAAAAAGTCATGTTTCCAAGTTTTGTAGATCTTGTTATGAGTGTCATAACGTAGGAAAACCAAATCAAAAGCCACTTAAAGCTGATTTGCAACCAATTCCTGCATTTTACAAAACATTTAGTAGAGTTATAGTAGATTGTATTGATTTCTTACCAAAGACCATGCTATGTAACAAAAATTTCTCAACAACCAAGCGTGCGTCAACAAGTTTTTCAGAAGTAATTCCTTTGAGGAATTATGCTGCATTTGGACTTCTCAAGTTTTATCAATTTGGTCAAAGGTCAAAAATTCAAGTCTGGAGTGTTCCAGCTTGTTACACTTAAATTTGGCATTCATCAGTTCAAGTCAAAAGTGAAACTATGGTTTCACCAATGTGTACTAGAGAGAATTGTTGAGTCCTGTAATAAAGTCCAATCTCTCTTGCGTATTCTGCACAATTTTCTGCAATTAGGGTTATATTGCCCTTACAAAGTAAAGAAGAAAATGAATTAGATTATAACATTAGTACTAGAGTCTAAGTAAATTGATGGAGTACTGCTGTTTTTAAAGAAATGGCCAGGCCAATCGTGTAATTAATTTAGATGTACCTGTCCCACCAAAGGAAGATTCGAATGAAGGAATTCAGCTGGACTCAACTAACTTTTGGAAACAAGTCTGCAGAATTCTGAATTTATGCAAAATCTAGATCAGAAACTTTCTCATTTGCAAGATCAAGAAAAAAGTGAACTTAAACAATTGTTGTCTGAATATAAGCACTTTTTACCAGACATGCCTATAAGGACAAACAAAATTGTTCACGACGTTGAAATAGTAAATTCGAAACCCATGAAACAACACACATACAGGATGAATCCTTTAAAACAGCAATATATGAAAAAAGAGATTCAGTATTTACTTGACAATGATTTCATAGAGCCCAGTAAGAGGGATTGGAGTTCACCGTGCATTCTTTTTTCCGAAACCGGATAAAACTTTCCGACTGTTTACCAATTATAGGAAAGTGAATAGTGTGACAAAAACAAATAAATTTCCACTGCGAAGAATCTATGATTTTATCGACAAAATTGGAAATCCCAAATATGTCACTACATTCGTTCTTCTTTGTATAGCTTTTGGCAAATTTCCGTAAAGGAAAGAGCAAACAAAATTTCGTCATTTGTGACTCCAGATGGACTCAACCAGTTCAAAGTTATCTTTTCGGATGAAGGTTTTTAGAGTATTTTTCAACGCCTTATGAATATGATTTCTAGATGGTCTAGACCAGTGGTCCCCAACCCCCGGGCCGCGGACCGGTACTGGGCCGTGGATCAAATGGTACCGGGACGCCCAAGGAGCATTAAATTATTTCCATTTTATTTACTGCGGTTTATTTCTCTCGGGTTTGTGCGTCTTGCCATGGACGAAAGGTTAACCAGGAGCTGAGAGAGGTCACCTAAAGCTGCACCAATACCGTGCATGCGCAAAATATCGTGATATCTGGGCGGTTTTAGGTCACTTCTGGAGATGAGCGGCTTTGGTGGAGAGAAGGTGTGAATCACTCTTCTCTCTGTTCACCGGTAATTGTTTACGAGTACTTGGTGTACGTGTATATTGTGTTTGCTCAAATTTAACCCACAAATTAGCAAAAATAAGTACGAAACAGACGTCGTTAGAGTTTCCATGGGAAAAAGAAAAGGACCAGTGAAGAGGCAGAAAAAGAACCTTCAGCATCAAAAACATAAAACTTTTAACAGACAATACTATGAGTCCTACTTGAAATATGGATTTATCGGGACAGGTGATTGCCACATA